ACGTACACGTACATAGCCCCACGTCTGTGTGCATCCTCCTGGGTGCCTGTCAGTCGGGCAGAGGTACTTCCTCCCTTTAACTGAATGCACTTGGTGACACCATGTTCCATTTAGTCATTCCCTGGCCAGCAGGCACCTTGGTGGAGTCTAACTTTAAAAGCTGATATGCCCGAGGCATTATTGATTAAGAATGCGAGACTTGTCTCTGAATTTCAGACACTGAAGTCGGTTCTCATCCCCTTGCCCGGCTCAGTGGTGCCATGCACCGAGCCCCCCAGGATGGGGGCCACGAACATGGGTCACAGGAGCCTCTGGAAGGTTCTCATGACTGACACTGGGACAAAGAACCCAGGTGGCCTGAGCTGGGGATGATTCGTCACCCCAAACCACATGGGCCAGGACCTCTCAGGAGCCAAATTCTCCTTCCACCCACAGTGGCCAGGGCACAAACAAGGACAGAAACCACCTGTATCTCCATGGTGAGGACAGCGTCAAGCACCGTTAAACGTTCTCTAAATGTGTATTTAATGGTAGTAAAACATTACATATGTTAAAGTACTTACGTTCCATTTATTCTTTTTTAAAACTATCCAACTCATTCTGAATGCAGAGGAGATTAAAGAGAGAGGGAAAGCGACAGTTAAAACCGGTCAGCAGGGCCACCACATGACGTCAGTGGGGACCTGGGGCAGCAGGCCAAACCCACCTGTCCCACAGGGACCTGCTCCTCGGAAATTCGGGGCCACCAGGAGTCGGGTCCCAGCCCACCTCAGGATTGCGGGACTGTTGGCTCCATCCTGCCCGCACCTCAACCCACACCATCTACGGAAACCCACTGGTGTAGAGTTGACTCTACTGTGTGACAAAACCAGCATCCCTCCGAGCAATGGCCTCTCTCCAAGGGAAGCCGGCCCATCCTAGAGGTGGAGGGCCTGAGAGTCCCCAGCTGGAGGGGGTTGTGATGGGATCCACCCTAAGTCCTCAGGCCACGTCCTGACAGCTGCCCCACTGCCTTCCGTGCAGCTCCAGGCAGCCAAGCCTTCCTCCAGGCATCCTCCGTGTGGTCAACTCTGACCCCCAGGCCCGTTGCCCTGGGGCCAACCCACCGCCCATACTCACGCCCTGGGTCCTTCCAGCTACTGGGCGGCCGGGTGCACCCCTGTGGGGGGCGGGGGGGCTCTTCTCCGAGCACCCAGAGGCTGCACACACCAAGGACACTCATTCCAGATTCCCCGGCGTGGCCCAGAGTTCACATCTGTACAGAAACCAAGAGAACCTGCCCGGGAGAGGAAAGGGGCGCTCCCAGGTCTCCACCACCCCAAGGTCATCAGCTTTCCTCCTCAAAGTGTCTCAAGCCCGTCACACAGGTGCTGGGGCCCTGTGGTCAGCTGAAGAGTGACCCCCAAAATATCCAGATCCTAAACCCTGGGACCATATGTGGCAAAAGGCGCTTTACAGACAATATCGTGGGCCATGTCGGAAGGAGTGGGAGATGCCTGCACGGCTGCCAACTTCACGGGTTCGCTGCAGGAGCTCCGAGGCCCAGGCCGCTTCTGCCCCTCTGACCCTGGTGGCTTAAAGGGCTCTGATTTCTAACATTGTAGTTAAAACATGAAAGGCCATCTGAAACCTGAATATGCAAATGTCACCCAAAGTAGAGAGGATCCATTCTTAGCTTTAAAAACAAAACAGGTCTAACTCTGACATAGAAAAATAGTTGTATCAGGAATGAGGGCAGGGCCGTTAGGGTAAAGAGAAGTTCTACGTTTGTTAAAAAATTATATAGGTCTATTTCTGTCTGTATATATGCGCACGGTGCATGTGCAGACACATGCTTTGCACAGACGTGCATATGGACGCATTATCAATCGCTGTTACACGTACAGGCCTGCCTCGTTTTACTGTGCCTTGCTTTACTGCACTTTGCAGACACTATGTGTTTTACAAATTGAAGGTGTGTGGCAACCCTGCATCGGGCAAGTCTATCGGCGCCATTTCTCCAACAGCATTTGCTCAGTGTCTCTGTGTCACATTTTGGTAATTCTCACAACATTTTAAACTTTTTCATTATTATTATAATTTTATGGTGACTGTGGTTGGTGAACTTTGATGTTACTATTTCAGCTTGCTGAAGGCTTGCTTGATGATTAGCATTTTTTAGCAATAAAGTCCTTCTAAATTAGGTTACATAATGTCATTGCATACTTAACAGACTACAGTATAGTGTAAACGTAACTTCTAGATGCATTGGGAAATCAAAAAAATTGTGCAACTTGCTTTATTGCAATAGTCACTTTATTGTGGGGTCTGAAACTGAACTCACAACATCTCTGAGATGTGCCTGTACGTTTTATCTGTATTTTCAGCCAAAATAAAGGTAAATGTGCTCATGTGCACGTAGTGGGAGATTTCTTCGCTTATCTGTACTATTCTAATTTTCCCACAAGGAGCATGGATTACTTCAGAAAAGTGAAACATGACTACATGCCTTCGTAATTTCTCCAGCTTAGAACCCCTTTTCTGTATTTGTCAATATTTTCCTAACTCCCCACTGTGCACATACATCGCTTTCAAATGGAAGACAGCCAGCAGTTAGGAGACCCGCCCCCAGAACCTGGAATTTGTCCTCCTTATACTCAAGACTCAGGGCCTGTGAATGGAAGCATGGCCACAAGGCACATCATGCAGGGTGCTTTGGACCAAAAAGAAACACAAACACACACATACACACACACGGATGTGTGCATACATGTCCACACAAGAACATACACACATGCACACACGTGTGCACAGATATGTCAGCAAAGCACACACACATACCCATGTACACACACACACATGCACACATACACACATCAACATACAGACACACAGGTGCACACACACACTCCACCAGCATGATCTGGAGATGCAGAGAAGACGGTAAGCTGAGAAGCCCCTCCGAGTCACCCAGCCGCGAGGCCATGCCCACCGTGAGAAGCCGACCTGGCCTTAGCTGGGCCAGAGCTTGAGCCACTGTGAGATGGTTCCCTAAGCCTAGCTCTGCAGTGACACTCAGCCCGAGGCCACGTGAGAGCAACCTGGACAGGGAGGTGCCTGCAGGCAGAGGCAGGAGCCAACATTTCTGCAGAGCCGCAGCCTAACAAGAAACTTGGTCTTTAGTTCTGGTGCCTTCTGGGACTCGGGGGAGGGGATGGCCAGAGACACTGCCTTTTTAAACTGTGCACTTGAACACCCACATTGCACAGGGAACCGGCTTTCGCTATTGGGCTAGGTTTAGAGGAAGAGGGCAGCGCCTGCCTAGATCTGGACGTGTCACTGGGGACACCCAACCCAGTGACATGTGGCAGGATGAGCCTGGGGACAAGGCCTGCGTGGGGCCTCAGACAGAAGGGACATGCTCTCGTCCACTCTGCCCCTCAACAGCAGGCCGCCCTCGGGAAGAGCAGGTTCCCCAAGTGCAGACATGAAACCGCTCTGTTGAGGGGCGGGTCCCTGCAGGCCCAGCTATGGGGCCTGAGGGCCTGTGTCTGCTAGCAAGGGACCCTGGTGTCCCCAGCACTGAGCCTCTCCGCCTTCCCACCAAGGAGGTTCCCCAGTGTGACTGTGGAGGACCCTGCCACTGTGGGACGGGCGTGGGGGCCTGAAGCAGTTCCCGGGCCCCTGTCCCAAGGGAGTCAAGTGGCTGAGAGCAGCACCCAGGGGACCCGGGGCCACACGGACCTGCCCCCTGCAGGTCTGTCTGCAAAAGTCCCCTTCACTGGCAACTTCCCTGCCCACTGCCTGAGGTCCAGGCAGGAGTCACCAGTGGCCACACATGCGGGGTCACAAGTGGACAGAGCCACTCAAAGGCTTGTGAGCCAACTCCACAGGGGATCAGGCAGCAGCATAACACTCAGCAGCTTCTCACAGCTTGCTTAAATTCTCAAAAAAAGGAAAACAATGAGATTTGCTTGTCCTCCTCACTAACTTCATTCCTCGCCTCTGAGCAAACAGAACAAGCCGCCAGGCCCGGAACGTGCCACGTGCTTTCCCTCCACGGCTACTGATGAGTTAGAAGATGGCAGCCTGGGGAGACCGGGCCACCGGGCGCTGCCCAAAGCCCAGGACACATTCGGAACGTGTGTTTGGCTGACGCCCCATCCCAATGCCATCCAACACAGTGCCAACGCCTCCTGCATCCGAGGGGGCATGCTAGACTCCCAATCTTTTCTGCGTTTAAACATCTTGAAGCAAGTTGTTAAACCAATTCCCATTCTGGAGGCTCTACGGTTAATGTTTTAAATCTCCAAACGCCACATACATCAAACCCAAATTGTTAGCCGACAAAGAAGTAACCCTATATACCAGCAATTGGCAAGCTGCCGTTTGTAAATGAACTTTGGTGCCCGCGCAGCGGCAGCTTTCAAGCTACAAGGCAACAGCTGAGTAGCTGCAACAGAAACCATGGCTGGAGAAGCCGAAGAGTTTGGCCCTTTGAGGAAAACACTGGTCGGGCCCTGCTGTCCACAGGAACAGCCTCGGGGTAACAGTTTAGCGTTGCTGGGGACCACCGGAGAGGTGCAGCCGGGAAGGCCGTGCTCGTGGAGGAGGCCCCCACTGCCCACCCCCCACCTGGACAGGTGCCCCGCTCACCTGTGGCATGGCAGAAGAGGTGGAAGGTCCCCAGGGCATGCACGTGCTGGGCCTGGTCGCTGAGGAAGGGCGGCAGCAAGGTGACCTGCAGGCGGCTGTCAGGCCCCGGGCCCGAGGCCGGCCAGGGGCTTCGGGGAGAGGAAGATGAGTCAGGGACCAGACAGGACAGGGAAGAGGACCCCGGAGGAGGAAAGGGCAGAGGAGATGAGGCTGCGAGACAGAGGACAGAAAAGAGAGAGGGCTCTGAGGCAGAAGTCGTCAGGAACACACCGCATGCCAGAGAAGGGGAACAAAGTGCAAGAAAGACAGGGGCCCAGGCCGCGCGGGGAGGCGGCGGGAGAGCCACAGGGAACCACGCGCCCGCGTCAAGGATATAAGCTTCTGTTTATTCGGTTACTTTCCGAACGTATACAATTCAAAGTAGAAAAATAAAAACGAAGTAAATCTTATAAAACACAAATGTTTACACCAAAACGGTCAAATCCTATCATGCTGGAAGATGACACTGTCCACACAGGCCACACACACACTCAGAGTTTATTGCTCTTTGCCACGGAAAGAAAGGCTCCTCTATGTGGGTGTCTGGAAAGCAGGAAATGGAGCGTGACGTCGGTGATGGTTAGACTGTGCCGCCCACTTGCACCTTGAAAGAGGGCGACAGGCCTGGCAGGTCCGTGGCGGCGGCATCTGTGGGAGGGGTGCTGTGCTCACCAGCCTGGCTGTCCCCGGCCGCCCTGCTCTCTTCCAGTTATGGACAGCCCGGTTAGGCCAAGTGGAGAGTCTGGGCAGGCAGAGGGCATGAGACGGAAGCAAAAAGAAAAAGGAGATGTTCAGATGACCAAGATGTCCCGGTGAACGTTCTGTCTGGGCAGGAGGTTTTTGACCAGTGGCCGTGGGCACTGGATTGTAACTCACTCGTCCCCTCAATTCTGCCGGCCCAGCTCCACCCAGAGCATGCTGGGGGCCACATCCCTCCCTCCAAACCCTGCCCGGTGTTGTGAGACAGTCCTCCACAGCCTTCTCCTCAAAAGAGTTAAAACAAGAGTTAAAAAAAAGGTACAGAAAAAAAGTCTCTCTGAAAATGATGCTTCCCTTAAGGAACATTTAAAAAAAAAAAAAAAGGACATGTTCTCAAGACATGGTTTTGTCTACATTTCTAAAAGCAGAAAAGAATGCATTTAGCAAAAGTAAGATTATCCCTGAGAATCTTAAGCAACATAAGCCATACCTTTACCCTAATATACAACAAAATTCAGAAGATGTACATCTTCCAAATATTAATACATCTGCTTTAGTAATTTAAAAAATGAACGACCCAACACGCCAACAGAATTAAAGCAAAAATCCTAAAAAGTAATTATGTGGAAGAAATGGTTCGTGCCAACCTGGACAACAAGCGATAAGTTACCAATCTGATAAACTAAAACGTCATTTCCAATCTGGAATTAAATTCTCTTTCAGTGGCTGCTACAAGGAGGGGATGCTCATGGCCCAACTCTTCCCGGGCCAGTGGCGGCCCAGCCGTCTTCCCGCCGCAGAGTGGCCTCGGGCAAGCTTGCAGGCATGACTCCAAGGGCCCCACCGACCAGCAGGCCGGCCGCGACGCTCGCCGTTTTCCGAAAGGACAAAGAGAAACCAAGTCACAAGCGCGACCCAAGAGAAAAGACACAGAAGACTGAGGTTTGCTGACGATGGCTACCTACGCAGCACTGGACGGGGGACTGAACTGGTAACACAAAGACCTCCCGGGGAGCAGCGGGTGCCTCAGTCCCCGTCCGCGTCCGAGTCGGCAAACTTCAGCTCGCACTTGACGTCGAATGGCCGGTCCCTGACTGGGAGCTCGTCGATCTTCTGCGAGTCCTCCCGGTCAGTGGGCAGCCTGCTGGCCATGGTGTCCTGCTCTGTCTCATAGCCAGTGTCCAGGGCCGGCTTGGGCTGCCCCCCGTTCTGCTGGGAGAAGCTGCCCTGCTCCACCAGCGTCTCCTTCACACTCTGCTCGCAATCCGAGAAGTCCGACGTGGGCTGCTTCTTCCCGAGGAGCATGGCTGAGCGGAACTTTAAACACTGTCCGGGCAAGTAGCCCTTATAGCAGTTGTAGGTGAAGAGGCAGAGGAAGAGGACGAAGAAGAAGAGGAAGAGAAACATGAGGAGACGGTTGTCACTGGACTTGAGATACATTGTCTTCTCCGAGTGGACCTGGGGGACCGTGTTGATGACAATCTTTGGTTCACAGGACATGCTGGTGGGCCCCTCGGGGCTGGAGGGCAGGGCGATGGCACTGGGAGTGGTGACCTGCAAGGCTGGGGTCTGGGGAAAGGAGCCTTGGGTGGGCCCCGCTGACACTTTGGAGGTGATCCTACTACCTTCTGTCCGTGTGACCGGCGAGGTGGAGGCCACCGGAGTTCGAGGGACCACCTTGACCTCCAGAACGTGCTTGGCCACCACCTGCAGGACTGTCTTGTTCTTGACCCTCTCCTCAGACAGGCACTGGTACACCCCACTGTCTCCTTCTGACAGGTTGAAGATGAGCAAGTTCTTCCTGCCCACCAGGCTGTACTTGGGGCTTTCGGCCTTGAGCACGCCATTCTGGAACTTCCACACCACCCGGGCCAGGTTGGACTTTTGGGAGCATTTGAGTTCTGCTGTGCCACCATGCTTGAAAAAATGCTGCAGGTAACTTTCTTTAATTTTATCTGGAACATCAAAATAAACGTGCACAGCATCAACAACCCTGCTCGATACTTCTTTCAAAACTAGGTTAACACGCACAAGAGGACACAAGAGTTTCACCCTGTGGAGCAACATGGAATCTTCCAGAACAGCAAGGAGATAAAGACATGCGTGACGGAAAAGCAAAGATTAAGACCCCAATGGCAGCCCTTGGGGACAAAGAAATTGAAGCCAACTCTGAGCAGAAGAAATCCTGTTTCGCACCCTGATTTCCCAGGAGAAAACTCCCCAGGCCGGGGAGGCTGGGCAGCGGTCAGCTGTGCCTTCTGGTGGCGGCGCTGAATCAAACAATGGGCTTCTGCTAGCGGCTGCCGGGTGTGCTAGCCGTTCGGTGGGCCTTGGCGCCCTCCTCCTAAACTTGTCTTAACTGATGCCAGCTAGCGAGCGGGTTAGGGATGGGAGGGCAGGGGCCCAGGGCACGCCTGCCTTCAGCTGGGACATGCCTGACCTCCTGGCAGGGGTGGGATCCCCCTAATCTCTCATGAGTTCCTCCCTCCTGTTCACGAGAGGTGTAGGTTTTGTTTAACGCGCCCCAAGCTAAGCAGAAGAGAGGATGCATCCCAAGAGCAGATGTCACAGTTTGGGATGGAGAGTGCCTTCCAGTACACAAATACACTCTGCGTGGCTTCAACATCCTGTTCTGTGATAAAAGGGACAGAGAAACATCACGGGGTCTGCCACGAGATTACTTGACCTCTGTTCCAAGTAGAGAAAGAAAAACAAAATGTACGAAATGCCACACCAGCAAAGCATCATGAAATGGTTACGTGACCTGGCCGTCCCTGAAGAGAAGGCAGCGAGGACGAGCAACTTACCGGGGCAAGCGGACGCATCCCCACTCATTTCCTGAATCAAACCCCTGCAAGACAACCGGGCACAGGTTACACAGTGCATGCGCTTGACGCCATGGGGCTGGGCGGAGCGCCTGCATGCAGTGGGGCTGGTACCTGCTGGGGCCATCGGTCTGGTACAGGGCGATGCAGGCGGCCGCGGCCGGGCTCCAGGCGCAGTAGGGATCCCGGGCCAGCACGCAGTCCTCGCAGGTGCCATGTTTTCCACAGAAGGCCACGGGGGCCTGCACCACGCCCGAGTTGGAACCGGCATAGACAAACCTTCTGCCCTGTGGGTGTGAAACAGATGAGAACGGTGGGCACTGGGTGGGGGCAGCCCTCAACGCGCCAGGTGCTTCTCTAGCTCATGGGGAGTGATGACAAAGCTTCGTCCCGAGCTTCTGGAGGAGGAAGCGGAACGAGGCCAGGTTAGATCCAAGACAAATCTGCACTGCAGCATCGTGACAGACGGGTGGATTTTGGACGGAATCCACGGGCTAACTCAGAGTGTGCTGGGCCTTGCTCCAAATCCCTCCCCTCCCCCGTCCGAGCACCCACCTTCATCCTACCCACCAGCAGTGCATCTCTGCACCTCCTCTGCCTCCTCTGTGTGCAAGAAGACCCACTAGCCTGACACTCCCGACTGCCCTCCCAGCCTCACTAGACCAGAGGCCAAAGGGCACAGCCTCCAAAGCCCATCTCGTGCAACACGTGAGCACCAGCACACAGACGGCCCGTGTCAGTGTGTGAATCCAGCGGGGCCGCAGTGGACACAGGTGGAGAGTGAACAGAGCTCTAGTAAACAAGTGAGGAGGCATTCATTTCTCACGCATCTACGTTTACGAGAAATGAACGCGGCTGGGGAAATGGACAGCCACTCTCAGAAGCAGAGAGCAAAGCAGGCTCCTCCGTGTTTTGGAATGCTGGGCCTGGGACGTCTCCACCCTCAGGCTGATGCCGCCGGCGCCCGCAGCACTGGTAGGGAGCCGGGCGCACGGGCAGTTGGGGCAGGCTGATTTCCTCACGGGACTCAGCTAGAACGAGGGCTCCCCCAAGGAGTCCACCTGAAGTCCAGCAGCAGACCCAGGGCTGGCAATTCACATACGGCATTTTCTCTCTCCTTTGCTGATAAGCCTCTGTCTCACCCTGACACTCTAGAAAAGCCGTTGGTTAATGTCAAAAGATTCCCAAGTTTCCACAGAGCTTAGTATTTAAAACACAGCCTCTATCCTCTGAGGACATGTTCTGAATTAATTTCAGAGTCCGGCTGGAGTGCAAAGGCCCTGGCATTACATCAGATCTCCTGGCCTGTGATGCCTTGAAGGCCCAGGGGTCACAGACTCACCGTGTGTGAGCACAGCCAAGACAGGGCAGTCCCCTGTGCAACAGAGTCAAACTGTGATGGCAGGTGGCAGAGAGAGTCAAGCCCAGTGCCAGCCTGTCCATGTCGGCAGAGACCCGGGCAGATGAGGCCAGGTGAGCCCATATTCGTAAGAAGGAATCAGGACGACACCCTGTATCACAGTTGGGATCACACGGCTCAGAGGTGAGGAAAAATTTCCTGGGGAGACCGGCCAAGTGGGCAACTTCAGTGGGGTCCTATGGAGGGGCCCTGGAGAGGGCTCGGACACTCATGCACCCTCCTCACACCACAGCCTGCTCAGCCTCCAGCCCTCGCTCCCCAACAGGGCAGGGCCTCCCCAATTCCAACGAATGTGGACGGGAAGGGAACAGAAAAGTGGCTTGAGATCCCACAGCAGCAAGCGCTGCAGGCAAGGCCCATGGGTGGACATGCAAGTCAGTGGGCGAGAGGCAGCCGGGTGTCTGAGTAGCCTCAAGGTCACCCACAAGTAAGTGTCAGCTGCCGTGGGGGCTGAACACGGCCCCCAAATTCTTCAACTCCTCCTTCCAGGAGCTGGGGCTTAGCTCCCCGCCGCCCCCCACCCCCGACCAGGTGGACTGGATCCACTGACCACACGGTGTGGGGACAACGTGGAAGGAGAAACCGAGTAACTCTGAGAAGTCATTGAATCCGTGTCCCCGAGACAGTGGTCATCTCCCCAAATGCTCAACCCCAATTTCAACGCGAGAAAACATCAGATATGCCCAAACCGAGGGGCGTTCCACAAAACGCCGATCAGTTCTCTCCAGATGTGTGAAGGTCGCCAAGATAAGGGCAGACGGGAGCCGTCAGACAGACACCAAGGGAGGCCACGGGGGGCCCTGGAGTCAAAAAGCAGGTCGTGGGAACGCGCGGATCGGGCGTGTGGAGGTGAGTGCAGGCGCTGTGCCAGCGGGCCTCCTCGGTTAGGCAGGCGCGCTGGGGAAGGGCCACAGGACCCCTGTACTATTCACCCCAGCTCTTCCGTGAGAGAAAACAAGCCGGCCAGGTACCACCCGGCACCTGTGAGATCGGCTGAGTGCGCACGTGCCCAGGTGCCCTCCTGCTGGGTGACTGTGCCCTCAGCTGCAGCACCAGGCTCTCTCAGTCACATCTTGGTCTCTGTACACACAGGTGGGTGATTGTGGGTGGACATGGCCAGAGCTGGAGGAGCTCCCACCTTTGCTGTACAGGGGGCATCTGACCATCAAAGAGCGTGCCCGGGAAAACCACACTCAGCCTGCTCCATGGGCCCAGAGCATGCCTGCCATGTACGCACAAGAGACTGGAGAACACGGCTGTTCATGCAGCAGGGGGAGAGGCAACCCAAGTGTCCACCAGTGGGTGAATAAACCAGACGTGGTGGATGCGTGGGATGGAATACTATTCAGCCCTGAAAAGGAAGGACAGACATGGATGAACCTTTAAGACATTATGCTGAGTGAAATAAGCTACTCACAAAAGGACAAATGTTGTAGGATTCCACTTATATCAACACGAGGTTCTTAGAGTAGTCAAACACACACAGACGGGAAGGGGAATGGTGGGTGCCAGGGGCTGGGGAATGGGAGGAAGCGGGGAGTCAGTGTTTAATGGGTTTGGGGTTTCAGTTTTGTAAGATGAAGTGCTGGAGATGGGTGAGGATGAGGGTTGCGCTATGTGAATGTACTTAATGGTGCTAAAGTGTACACTCAAAAATAATTAACATGGTACAATTTATATGATGTACACTTACCACAATAAAAACAAAAAACAAATGCACTTGTCAGGGGAGAGCAGGTAGTGACCAGGGACCCCCCTCCCTGGTAGCACTTCCTGTGCTCCCCCAGCCCTGTGGCAGCTGCTCGTCAGTTTTCTGCATTGAGAGCCAGGCATGATCGACCCAGAAGAGGCTGCTGGTGGGGAATGGGGAGGGGGGAGCAGGTGTCTTTTTACCCTAAACAGCCGCTTCCTGCTGCCACGGCAGCACGGACAGCATTCTGAAGCCACCCTGAGCCCACTAGCCCAGGAGAAGGTGTGGGACCCCATGGGCACCTGAACCACATCCCAGCACAGTGGAGGCTCCTGTGGGAACAGGCAACTCACTCCCTGCATGGCTAGCCCCCGGCCATATGACCAATCCTGACCTCAGGCAGGTGAGCACAGGACTCACCTGTCAGACTTCCCACAGGTGGTACTGCCCCCTCCCTCCCTTCTCCCTCCCCCATCCCTCCCATGGGATCAGTACCCACATGCCCTGGAAGACTTGGGTTCAGGATGGCAGGGCCAGCTGGGTCTGTGAGTGATGTCGTGGAGCAGAACCGAGCCCTGTCTGCACTGGGGGCCTGGCCTTGGTTCTGATGAGTACTAGACCATCTGGAGGCTCTAAGCGTGCTTGCTCCAGCCGGGCTGAAGCACCTGAGCAACGTGGCAGCGGCCAGAAGGGCTCCTGGGTTTCCCTGTTTCACCAACGATGCAGGTGGGCCTGGGGGAAAGGGGGCCAAAAGCACCCACCCGAGAGGTACAGATGTCTGGTAGCCTAACCCCATTAGGCTACTTCGTCTTCCTTCCCTTTTAGAACTGGAGCAAGAAAACACACACTGCGGCGGCCAAGAGGGGAAGTGACCCTGCTACAGGAGTCTGAAAACCAGATCCAACTCCTCAAGCTCATGATGCCGGGGAGAGGACGAAAGACTGTGTGTGGAGTTTGCAAATACGCATCTGACCAAGAGGTCGCCTTCTTTTCTTTCTCGCCTGGCTATCGGGACCCCCTTCCTACTGCCCACAGCCCAGGGAGGAGTGAGCCTGGGCCCCACGATCCGGGTGGAGGCCCCTACCTGGAGCCAGGGCAGGGAGGATGCTCTGAGGGGCTGGAGGAACAACCTCTTTCCAACGTGAAGAGAGGATGGCCCAGGAGTGTCACGGGTCAAAAGGGAAAATCTCAGCAACAGGGCGACGCCATGCGAAGCAAGGACAGCCTGGCTTGGTGCTTCCAAGCGAGGCTTTGCAAACAGGGTGCAGGTGGGAGAGGCCAAGCGATGGGTGGGCCTGCAGTGGAGGGGAATTCGATGTATGGCCAGGCTACCAATTTCTGATGCTGACCAGAGCCTGTCAGCCCAAGGGTCACAGCATGGGGAGTCACAGGGCAGGGCTGGGACAGTCCCAGGGTCTGCCGTCCCTCACCGTATAGATGAGGAAACCGAGGCAGGACTGGTCCACCCAGGCTCACAGTCACGCACCTGGAGCCAGGACATGGACGAGGTCACCTGGTGCCCGGCCTGAGCTCTGCTCTTCACTCCCCACCCCGGCTGTAAACCGGGTGGCACACTTCCCAAAGGCCACTTTGGATGTACAGCAGGGGACAGCCTGTGGACCACAGGGCAAATCCAGCCTGCTGGCTGTTTCTATACAGCCCATCAACTAATAGCGGGTCTCACATTTTCAAACGGTTGAAGAAAAATCAAAATAATAATATTTTGTGACATATGAAAATTCCACGAACTGCAAAGCTCAGTGCCTGTAAATGAGGATTTGGTAGAAGATAACAGGGCTCACTTGCTTCCGGACTGCCCACGGCTGCTCTCAAACTGCAACAGCACGGGCATCAGAGCCTACAACATTCACTCTTGGCCCTTTACGGACAAAGCAGGCCGGCCCTGGTGAACGAGACAGCGCCTCATGAAACGGGGCTTTACAGACACGGCGCGTCGTTACTCAGAGGACGCTTTTCTGTGCAGATGAGGAAGGTGCACGGAGGGCACCCCCGCCAACTGGGTCTTACCTCACCAAGTTCCGGCACAAGAAGTGTTTTCACAGGCCAGTGAGCCCCCCGATAGCATCGTACATTGGTCCCAACAACTCAGTGAGGTTCTGCAACTTTTAGGACACAGTTTGCCTTCCCTCCACCCCATACCCCACAGCTCATGGAAGGACTTTCTATAAGAGCCTGAAGGTCGGCTCCTCTAGGCCAGATGGACGACGGGGCCTGCCTGGCGCAGCCTGACCCAGCCTGTGGGCACCGAGATGTGGGGCCATCCAGCCGGCCACCCAGTCACTTTACCTTCTTGGAGGACAGCAGCAGGGTCTGGACGGGCTCGAAGTCCTGGAAGAGCTGTGTCTCCTCAATGATGTGGACATTGTTCTCAAGGCTGATGGCTTTGTGCAGGGCACCCCGGTCTGCAAGGTCAAAGCTGCAGGTTACTCCCCAGGAGGAGAGGACGGTGCTGGCACTGTCAGCCACGCAGCCAATGGTCACCCTTCTGCCTCCCACTCCTTCCCCCAGTAGGAGGCTTAGAAACAGATGTTTTTGCATTAGACACGGAAAAGGAAAAGCCATCAGCAAAATAAACAACTGGACTGACATGGGTTATCCCATTTTTATCTGAAAAATAAACAGCCCTTTGCTGACTTCAATACCTCTCATCAGAGTAGTTGACACTGTGTCCTCCAAACAAACGTGACATGGTTCTTGGGCTGCACTGGCCTCTGAGGGTGCCATCCTTGTGCCAGGAGCCCCAGGCAGGGGAGGCTGGTGGCTGGGCAGCACCCAGAGCTGACCACAGAGCCCGCCAGCTGCTGCTGTGCCTGGCTACCAAGACCATTCCAGAAGACTTGTGTCGGAGTCTACGGACCACCAGGAAAGGTGTGTCTCCCACGGCAGGTCAGGACAGGTGTCAGGCAGGGAAGCAGGACGTGCCCACGTGCCGGCTCTCAGCAGCCTCCCTTTGCACCGCCCAGACCTACCACACCTGAATTTCTAGATCTGGGCCAGGACTCGCATTTTTAACCAGCGCCCCAGGTGTTCTGATGGTCACAGAGATCTGAAGCCATCCAGGTGTGGTGACTTCTCAGAAACGCTTCCACGCCCTAACAAACCACTCAGGCACCTGGGGGAGATGCTGGTTCCGGGCGGCAGAAATTAGCTGGATTCACCCACGTTCTTACCCAGGGCCCAGGACCCACCTGTGCTAACAAACATGACGTCATGGACCGTCCCATCCAGGGCCCAGGTCCTGTCCACCACAATCTGCGTGTAGTTCACGTCACTCTTGATCAGCCGGGGCCTGTTGTCTATCGGGGTCACGGAGTCATCCATCAGAGGGTGGTCTTTGACAAACTGCAGAGTCTTGTCTGGTAGGTTGAGGGAGCTGGAGAAGTTGGCCGCACGCGCCTCCCGGTTGATGCACTGAAGGGAGCAGACCACCCGTTACTGCGGGGTGCACGGGCACATGGCGCACGCTCCGCACAAGAGGGGAGGCTTCCCCAAGGTGACGAACTTAGGACTACACAGTGGATTTCTTGAAAAAATGGAAACACTGAGGTGATCTTTCCCCAGGAATCTGAAGACACAGTTATAAAGCAGGGAGGAAATGCAACTGTCTTTTTGTCCACAAGACACAATTGGGTCTCATGATACATAGTCAATGAAGTAACTTTCATCCATTCATAGATGAAAAAAGCATATCACACTTCTGAAATTGAAAAATCCACACTTATCATTCCACCTCTCTCCCAGAAGAGAAGCCTCGAAAAATGGCTAAAAATAGTCCAATTCTAGATATAAATAGCATAAAGGTCAAGAGCACAAAGGATTCTTTTTCCCATCCTAGTTCTTGATGTGCGTAAACCAACATTCACGACCACAGGTGAACACCTTTTGCTTAAAGATACGCATGAAAGGAACTGACCTGTGTTAGCAGAGACGTACCCCAGAGAGGGGGACCATCCTGGGGGAGTGAGCTCCAAGCACCAGGCCACTCTCCCAGGTCACAACCCCACCATGGGCCATGTACACGGCCCAGCTCACCAGTCACGTAATAAACGGATGCAGCCCCATCGGCCTAGACACCCACACTGATTTCTACATAACATTCACTACTTTTAGGAGAAAAAAAATGTGACTCATATTAACAAATGGAGAGTATCGCTCATCCCTTTGCTAAGAAATCGTGTGTTTCTCTGCAAGAAACAGAAAATGAAAAAGCTCTAATTTTATTACGCAATGTTAATCCCACAGAACAGCTGGTGCCAGCCAGAAGAGCTTTCTTGTTCGGGCAGTTCGTAGCCACAGCTGTTACACAACACACCGATGAGAAGAAGCCAGGAAAAGGAGAGTGTGCCCACGGCCCCTCCCAGTCCCGGGTGGACGCCCGTTCCCCGTGGAGAGAGCCCAGTCCACTTACCGCCCCGGGCCGCGGTGTGGGCACGGCCCCGTTGTAGCGCACCCACTTGGTGTGCGACTGCTCCACCGTGGCGCTCTGCATGTACTTCCCACGGGAGAAGACTGCCTCGGCTGTGGACAGGTTGTAGGCGCACACGGCCGAGAGCCCCACGTTGTTCCTGGGGAGGAGGGGGCGACGTGACTGCCCTGAATCGGGAAGTGCAGTGAAAACACCCCCAACCCACCCACCCAGGCACTCACAGCTGTGGGGTGAAGACCCCATAGAACATGGGCTCCTTCAGGCCGGGAGACCTGAGGACAAAGACGTCTCGCAGCACATTGAAGACGAGGTTGCTGTCCGGCCGGGAGCAGATCAGCCTGGCCTTCAGGAAAGAGGTCCACTTCTTCTGTAAGGTCCTCAGGCCGCCCTGATCCCCCTGTAACCCCAAAGACACGTGTGGTAGGAGGAGGGCAAACTTCCCCTGTGAGCAGGTGATAAGTGATGTACTTGGGCCCAGAGCAGCTCTGCCTGAATGAAAGGAAGCCAAGGCTGAAAAGGAAAGCTGGCTGCAGACTACTAGTGACGCCAGCAACTCCCTTCGTGCCAGCTCGGGTCATCGATTGAAGCACAAAACCACACCAACAAAACCCTCTCGACGACCAGTCTCCCAACTGCAGCTAGAACAACTGTTCGACTCTGCCCACACTCTGTGTCATGCAGCAGACCCCCGCCATCCTTGCACATGTTCACTGCTTTGGCCCTTTGGCTCATGTGCATCTCCAGACTCACGACCCGTCCAAGAGTGACTGGCAGAGCCAGGGGCTGGTGGACGCACAGGCTCCCCAATCTGTCTCAAGCCAATGTGTGTACGCGTGGTCTCCCCCAAAAGGCGCTCCTTGTGGGAGATCAAATCTTCACTTCCTTCCAGCCCCCAAGTTATCTGCTGAGGTGCTCTGGTCCTGCCAGGTCCTCCAAAACACTTTTTAGTGAACTGCCCACCAAGCAGCAATCGTGAAACACCCCTGACATGACTTGGTCTGGAGAGAAATACCAAAACTCTTACAATTGGATGCAGAACATGAAATTGATGTATCCTCACTTATTCTGGACACAGTGAAAATGCAACCCTCCTCATCTTTATGTTGGAATGGAAAAACCCCAATTCCAACAGAATTTGGTTAACACAGTATAGAAAAACTAACTTTTTATAAACTGGGGGAGGTTTGAGGGAGGTGTGTTAAGATCAGAGCCCTGAGGACAGTCATCATCACACACGGGGCAGGCGCCCCTGTGGTCTCCAGGGAGGCCCACAGGGAGGACAGAGGCCCGAGCCCTCGGCCCGTCCACACTGACATCTGTAGTGTGGAAGAATAAAGTGGTCGGGAAATGGACTTCTCGGAAGAAGTGTGGAGCCTGGGCGACACGCTCTCACTGAGGGCTGGGACCAAAGAGAAGAGGGGGTGCTGGGCTCACCTTGCAGACCCTCGCTACCCGTGGGATCATCAGCTTGAAGACGAACTCGTACTCCACAGACACCTCTGTGAAGAAGAAGTAGACCTTGTCGTCCCCGTCGTCCCCGCCCTCCGGGCTCTCTCCTATCACGTCAGCAAACACGAAGCTGGGCTCTGCAGGGAACAGACGCTCTGGTTATGCCTATGCACACCGAGGGCCCGGGCACCCCCTATCGAGGATGTTGGAGGGTGTCCACACCACACCCCAATCAAACGCCAGGGCCCGGGAATGGTGACGGTGCCCATCTTGCCTTCCTTGGCCTAAGGAGATGCCCGAGATGGGGGTTTTGAAGCACAGCCTCCCGGTCCAGCCCAACAACTGAGGGCTGGGCCTCCCAACTGGCAGGCAGCCTGGGGGCCCCAGGGAGCTTGATCCCACCATAGCCTGGAGACCCACTGGAAGATATGCATTTGCCAGTTTAAACAGCACGTGCCTAAAAGAGACAAACTGCTGACCACCAGATCCAGGTGCCCCAAGGCTCTGGCTGGCTGGCCGATGCCCACGAGAAAAGTCCCCTGCGAGCATCTCTGTGAGCCATCTGGACCGTGAATCCAACATGGACACATGATGTCCAGACATAATGGTATAATATCACATGCTGATGTAACAAGCCTGAGCTCGCCATTCTGAGCCTCCCACATCCGTTTTCCAGAAGGGGTAAAGGCAGGCTTGAAATAGCGCTCTCTTAGCAGAGAAGAAAGCAAAGAAGCCCGTGGATGCTGGCTGTGGAGCCCCCGGCAGTTCCAGAAGCGCCCCTACTGCACTGGGGCTGACGTGAGCCCCGGGACGGAGGAGGGTGAGCCGCAGATGCCCTCCTGTGAGGCTGGGAGCCGGCAAAAGGAGAACTGGAGTGAGGGCTCTGCCGGCGAGGAAGCCGCCCCGAGCAGAAACACACCTTCCATGATGCCACCTGCTTCTTACCGTTCAGCCAAGGAATTGCATACTCCGTTCTCAGAGGACTGTGGGAAGAATTTCGGGAGATGATGGGTTCGCTTCCCAAGAAGTTATACGACGTCCCAGAATAAAGCTCTCCATCTTTGGGCGGAAAGAGGAAAAGGGAATCAACGCGAGTGTCGGGGACAGACGCTCAGCACCACATTCTCCTCCCAAGCTAACACAAGTCCTCCCAGGAAGCGGAGAGACTATCGCCCTGCTTCTGGGTGCGTGTTTCTGCTTCCTGAGTCTTCTGTTTTGTTTCTCTGACATGGGTAATTTTAGGCTCCATGTTAAACTGTTAGGGGCAATAAGTAACACAACGCAAGTAACTCCTGCATCCAGTAAAATAACAAACACAACAGTGGGTGCACACAAGGCTCCTGGCCTGCTCGCCTTGGGTGTACAAGGCCGTTCCAAGGCAGGTCATGGCTCAGTCACAAACGTCCCTCGAACAGGAGCATTAACTCAACGTGGCCGAGTAATCCAGATGATTTGCACAAAGGACAGATATAAGATAATCTCTTCCTACAAATCTAACCTGAGGACTGTGGAGGTGGCTGGTTATCCTACTGAACAATGAATTCAAAAGCTTGTATCAGCGGGTCTGTGGAGAGGCTCCTGTACCTTCTGTGAGGATACTGAATATGGGAACGAAGCAGAGGGAGACCCCTGTGGAGGAGGAGGAACGGGACCTCCTGGGGGTCCAGCAGAGCTAAGCCAGGGACAGACCCTGAGAGCAGGACTCACCAACCATGACGGACGTGTAGCTTTGTGCTGGGTCAAAGGGACACCTTCCTTTGCCGTCTTCATTTTTGCCCAGAAATTTAAAGGATGTTAAGTTCTATAATTGAATGAAAAGAAAGAGTGTCATAAAATGTCTGAACTTCTGTAGTCATAATATATCTTTGTGGGACCATTTAATTTACAGACTCACTCTTCTGGGGGGACAGAGGAGAGAGCACATGCACGGTCTACCACCTGGTCCCAGGTCTGGACACTGGTGCCTTGGCACCCTCTGATACCCTCGAGAGAGCCTCCAGATCTTGGAGCCTCAGTTGACTCTCCTATAGGACAGAGACAGCAATGCTGATGGCTCTAGGGTCATAGAACAGCCAGGGAAAACCAAACACAGGATGTGCTCCGGAAGGGACTGGAAGGCCATGTGCAGAACTTTAATATCAACAAAGATGCCTTCAAAGCAGCGGGGGACCAGGCTATCCAATAAACAGGTAACAGGAAAAAAGGAGCGGAATCTCTACCTCATTCCACCCATCGAAACACACTCCAGGTGGATCGATGATTTAAATATTAAAAACAGAACCGTGCTGCACTAACAGAAAGTATGGGTGACAATTTCAGTCTTGGGATAATCTCTCCTCACCTGACAAGACAGTCCAAAGCCAAGTAAGGGAAAAAATGGACAGATCCAGTACACGAAGCACTGGGAAGCGTCTGTCCACAGAAGAATGAGACAGAAATTGACAGTGACAAAGCGGGGGAAATGCCCGCAAAATGACAGATGAGGCATTTCCATCCCTGAATATACAAGAAGCTTGTACAAATGAGTAATAAAGCATTTCCAGGAGGAAAACAGTCAAAGCACAGCAAGTTAGAGAAGAAGAAACCTATCCGGCAGCACAGACAAGAAAGGATGCCTGAGCTGCCAGCAACCCAGGAAGCACAAGGCAATGAAAGTGCGGTACCATTTTCCACCTGAAAGCCTGGCGAAGCTTAAGAAGACGGACACCCAAACTGCGATGGGTGGATGGGCAGCCCTGCTGTCTGTCAGAGCGAGGGAAACATGTCACAGACGGAGCAGAGAGGACTCAGGGGCATGGGAAAGATGCAGTTACATTTCTAACAGGCTGGTGGAAACAATACACAGACTTTTCACCTCTTAGGTTAGGAGGTGTGAACTGGGGTGACAGTGCACCCCACTTGATGTGATTCACTGACTGCATTTCAAGAAGATGTTTGGGGAAATCTGAACAGGGACTGGAGGTTAGATGACATTAGAGAATTATTGTATATCTCCTTAGATATAATGACAAACCCGGCATTACTGTAGGAAAATGTCATTATTCTGAGGCATGTGACAGCATTTAGGGGTCATGGGTGTGCTCACACCTGTGCACACATACGGACGCTCCCAACCATGCAATCTGTGTGGTTAGAACACGTGTGTGTGATCAACTTTTCTGTCGGCTTGAAATTTTTTTTAAATATTGGGAAAAAATATAGGTCTAGATTTAAATGAAACATATGATTCCCTTACCTCAACAACTGACATGCCCATGGAATTTAAGTTTAAATTCCATACCTTAAGCTTCTAACTATAGAGTTTAGCCAGGAAATCCTTTCACGTGCAAAATGTTTCTAATATGACTAATGTGACCTACGGAAAAAGAAACTAAGTCTGTCTATGAGGACTGAAGATCTCAACACCTAGATGCACCCCCTACCCCGATCCCAACCTCTGTCGCCGGAGTCTGTGGACACAGACAGCCCGGCAGACCCACCCTATGTATAGACCCCACCCCAGGGCTCTGTGTGCGGATACAAGGTTTTCGAAGCAGTCCTTACTTCGCCCATACTTTGTCCTGTCATGTATCTCGGACTCAAGCTTGGAAAACATTTTTTTAATTCCAATGAATTTAGGGTTCTAGCAAACTAAGCTTTCCACTTTAGCATACTTCACACTTGACAGTTACTCACTAAATAGGGACAAACACTAGAAAATGTGCTTCATTATCGATCCTCAAGTGCATTTAAAACACTCCTCCCTCTTTGTGGTTGTTATAAATGGCTCATCAGATTATCTGAATAAAAAGAGTATCTCCCAGAGAGATGCTGCTGTCTAATCCGCTCTCTCCTTCCGGCTACCGTCAGCAAGGGAATCAGGAGTGGTGGGAGGGCGGTGTAAGAGTCAGGGGCCCCCTCCAAAGGACCCTACTGACAACTGACGAGGCTCAAGGAGAGTCAAGGACATGATGCAGGTGACGGAGAGATGGGTCCTGCTTCTATAACCGCTCAGCAAACTGGCACTGTTTTGTCACTCCTCAGAGGGAAGAATTCCAGAACTGTCTATCAGTGGGCAACTTGTACCCCAACAGCCAACACTGAACGTGGTGCCCCAAGACCAGAGCAGCAGACACCGTTGTAGTGAGCCCGGGCTGCCATGACGACCACAGACAGGGGTCGGGGGAGCTGCAACCACACATGTTCCTGCCTCATGGTTCTGGGGGCTGGAAGTCCGAGATTAGGGTGCCAGCATGGCTGGTTCCTGGTGAGAAACCTCTTCCTGGCTTGCGGACAGCCACCTTCTTGCTGTGACCTCACGTGACAGAGGGAGAGAGCTCGAGAGCTCTGGTGTCTCTTCCTCTTCTTATAAGGCCATCATCCTATCAGGACCCCGGCTTCATGACCTCGTTTAACCTTAATTACTTCCTCATGGGCTGCATTTCCAAATACCATCACATTTGGAGAATTAGGGCTTCAACATATGGAATTTGGGGAGACACAAACACTTAGTCCGTAACATATATGAACCAAGAACAAGGGATCCAAGAGCAGAAGTCCTGAGTTTTCTACTTGACCAGGGCCCATGTCATAGCCAGGGCTCCCTCACAAAATACAAAATGTGACAAGGAGAAATAGGCAAGATGCTGGATCAGGGCACATTGATGCTTCCTCTCTGTCAACACGGGCCTTCCCAGAAGGTCCCCCCACTGCCCGCTCTGCACTATGGGCCAGCGGTCCTGTAAGTCCTGCACCCAGTCATGCCCTCAATCACGGTGGTTTACAGACTGGAAGGCTTAAAGGAGGCCGGTGAGTGGGCAGAGGCCTTCTGCGGAGCCATGGGCCACCCCCATCCCCACACAGCTGGCAGGAGAAAATCCTCCCAGACTGCAGAGTGGAGACCACTTGCTGCTGCCTCGAGCCCCACACGCTGCTTTAACTACTGACCAGGGGACCTGCGCGGCCTTACCAGGTGGTCACAGGCTGGCTGGAACGCATTGGTCCCGCACACGTAAAGGGCACTGGCGCTGAGGGGCTGCAGCACTCGGATGTAGTTAAGGCATTCTGTCTACAAGGAAGAGAAATGCACGGGTCAGCCACCGTGCAGGCTCCACCGGACGCCCTCCATGATCCCAGCTGTCCAGGCTGCTCACTGCATAGCACGAACCAGCCAAGCACATGCCCGACAGCAGCTCCTCACGGCTCACTGATGACCAATCCGACTGTGAATTCGCTGCCACCCTTCCACCTCGGGCCTCAGGTGCCATCCATCTGCACAGGCTAGCCCTGCCCTGCCTGGCACAGTGGGAGCAGGCTCCCGGAGACCCGGCTCCACCCCTGCACAAACCTAAATCTGCAGCTGGCCAGAGTGCTTCTGCCTCTGCAGGGTCCACAGGCCGCTGTCAAGTGCCAAACAGATTTCACCTCAGTCACTGATTTATACTCAGCAAAAGCGTATCAGCCAAAAAGCAATGAAAGCTGACCTCAAACCTTACTGGACACCTGGCACAGGGAAACACGCATTCACTCTCACTGAACACACAGACCGTTCATTGTGTTGGCAGGCCCGAGGGGGTGTGTGCTGTGCAGAGTTCCCTCCACCTTCCCTTTCTCTGGGGGACCCCACCCTCGACGCCCCAATGTGCACAACTGGAAGCAGTGCTTCTCAGGAGAGGGGTGTGTCCGGCCCGCCTAGCTCAGGGGAGAGGCAGGACTAATGAGGGGCTCCGAGCCCGGCTCCACATCAGAAAGGCCCTGCAGGAAAACCAGATGCCACTGAAGAACCCACCCACTATTTTAGGCTGAAATGTACTTGGATTATATGTGCTAGCATCTGAAATTATCTCCACTCGGGAAAGGTTTTTTTTTTTTTGCCGCGATTGTTTTGAAACTGGTTGGAAGTAATTCATCGTCCCTGAAAGAACTGGGAGGGACCCTTGTCCGCTGTATGGCCTCCACGTGGGGCTGGCCAAAGTGCCTGTTCTAATTTAGCTCTAAGACAACTCCCTGCGACACCTGTTATTACATCGCAATGCCTGCATTTTCCCTCATTTCGAATTTAGTGACTTTGGTGAAAGTGTTTAGTACTTTGCTAAAAAAGTTTAGCCAAAACATTTTTTCTGTTTTTGTTTTTTTTAATTTTAATTGCTTTGAAATTAGCCAACAACTACTGAAATTGACTATAACCCAGCTGTCTTAACCAACTACCAAGGAAGACGGGGCGCTTGTATTCCAAGACTCCGACAACGGCCCAGCACCAGTTAGGGGCAGGGTAGCCCAAGTGGGTGGTAGCCATAACCCAGAGCTCTGGAGGGAGATGGATGGACACTCAGCCCAGCGCTTCCCGGACGGCCACCACACTGAGATGCCCAGTATCTCCTAGCGAAGGAGCAGTATCTCAAGGCACAGATGCTGCCAGCAATCCAGAAATCCTACAGCAACCCCTCCAGGCCACTGGAGCTCAGGGAAGGCATGAACCCTGCACTGTACACCTTTAGGCCAGCAGGCACCAGACATCGTTTTCTGTAGTCAAAGTTTCAGGCCATTTGAATAAATTCAATTCAGATAAACTTTAAAGTAATTTTCTAAAGCCTAGTATGTTTGGCACTTGCACTGAGAGCCCCAGGCTCGCCACTCAGGAACAGGGAGGTAACCTGCAGGATGAGTCGCGATGACGTGAGCAAGCCTGGCAGCATCCTGAGGGTGGGGCAACCTGCCTGGGCTGCACCACAGAAGTCGGGGCGTTCGGGAGAGTCAAACAAGTAAGACAGGCCTGGGTGGGCTCTGAAGCTTGCAAAAGAAATTACCTGTTTTGATTTCCCCTTTTCCGCGCATTTTGCTTTTTTATCTTCCGAGACCTTCCAATATGCCTGTGAGGAAAAACGAGAGTCCATTTCAGTGCATGTTCCCCCTTTAGAAGGAGATACTGGTATAAAAAACATACAGTTTACAAAGCACATGGTGGTGTTTAGAGCACAGGTATTTCCCAAGACATTAATATCTCAGATTGCAAAGCGAGGCTCAGAGAGCAGACGCTGGGACCCGTGAGCAACGGGGCTTCATGAAAGTTCTGTGATCCTCATGCTGCAGCCAGGGGGCCTGGAAGGCGGCTCCCAGATGACTGCTATTCACTGAAAAAAACTGCAAATATTAAGTGACTGCAAGTGGGGAGGATTCAATTATTTATCAGGAAAATAAACTGCAGGCATTTTCTTTTCTTTTTTTTTTTTTGGTCGCACTGCGTGGCATGTGGAACTTTAGTTCCCTGACTAGGGATTGAACCTGTGCCCCCTTCAGTGGAAGCGCAGAATCCTAACCACTGCACTGCCAGGGAATTCCCTAAACTGCAGGCATTTTCAAACATCAAGTGGGTTTTCTCATCCCTTCAAAACTGATTCTTGAGTCTAGTAAAATGTCTTGACGTTTACTTTATCAGTGGAACAGCAGGGTTATGATGCTTTAAATTTTATGTGATGGTAGGAGGTGAAAGTGATGAAGCCACAGGGCTCCCTCAGGTCAGATGTCTTCCCACTGAGATCTGTGCTCCTGCTTCTTCCACACCAGGTGGACGAGCCAGGCTGGCAGATGCCTCAGCCCCGCACCCTCCAGAGGACAGGGAGCAACAGCGCTGCATCACAGAAGGCTCCCACGCTCCTGCCTCACTGTCCCCAAGATGCCCCATCTGCCCGTGTGATATTCCAGGATTGATGCCAAAATATATTTCCTCCCAGAGAATCAAAGCTGGCCGTAGGGCACTCAGAGGTCAGGAAGTACACGGTGCTTCGCCATGGCAGTGAAGTGAATCCCCTAGCAATGTGTTTTCAGAGAAATGGAAGTGCTAATCAGGACACGTGAAAGCAGAACAAAGTCCCATTTCCAATAGCAACTTCCTTTAGAAATTAAAATGTAGACAATTTCATCATTATCTACAGGCAGTGCATAAGGACACAGGAGCATGAACTCTGACAGGCCCTTGATCATGGCGTTTTCACTGAAGCTTGGCTGTAGTCCTTTCACTTTTTTCCCTCTTTTACGTCTACAGAGCCTAAAGCCTCTCGGTTACCCACAGTGATGGCATTAACAGAGCAACGGTGGCTCTGACTGAGCACCTGCAGGTCGGCACAAGCACACGGTGGAACCACGATGCTCCCAAGACGAGATTCTGAAAGGCAGTGTTAGCCTGAGTTGTTGGAAAGGAGAGTAAGGCTCAGAGGAAGGGGATTCAATGAACACAGGGACTAGGGGCTGAGCAGGGCAGGCCCTTGGCAACCCTCTGCTCTAAGTGCTTACTGTTCCAAACACTTTATTTTCAAGGGGTAATAACCAGAATCTCGTTTACGTGAAACAGAAATTAAGTACTATGCCTGACTCTGGAGACTAACACAAAATGAAACAAAAAAATAAGAGATCTGGGGCAGAAAAGGCACAAGGTGAGCATGGGCTGGCTTGATTCCAGAGAACCAGAAAATTACACCAACCACTAGGGTGGTGTCTAAGGATTCAGGAGCAGAGGAGAGGCTGCCAGAGGCCAGGAGGGGACAGACTGAGCATTGGCTACAATGGCTTGAGGCACTTCAAACACGTTTAAATCCACGAGTCATGGTCATACTAAAAAACCAAAAACAGTCCAAAAACCCACTGTCTCCCTTTGGGGAGAACTTACTCATTATTTGGAAAACTAGTAAATAAAGGCGAAGATTTCAAGCACTGATCCTGCCATGTCCAAAGGAACTGGCCTCGGGAGATGTGAATAGCTGGCAACGGGCATTTCCCCGTCACTGACAGTATTCCAGCTCACAGATGGAGAAGGAAAGGTAGAGGCGGGACATCCCATTCTGCAACCCTTGACGTGCTCCAGACTGCGACGGTCAAGGGCCAGGAGGAGGACGCCCGCCTGGGTGGAGGGTCCGGCCTCTCACAGGAGCCAGACCGGGGCTGGGGGCCAGACAGGATCGCGAGTGGCTCTCCCAGCCAAGCAGACCCAGGGCGGCTCCTAGGAATGGAGACTCCACGACGGACAGAGTGCCTGGCCACACAGACGGCCTGAGTTCAACCCGATCAAACTGAATAGTCAAACATCATTTATGAGAGAGTCCGTGAAATTTGAACACTATTTGATGAAATTAATTTGGGGGATGCAATAACGATAGTTTGGTTATTTTGAAAAAAGGAGTCCCTTCCTTTAGGAGATGATCAGGGAAACATGTGCAGATGAAGAACATGTGTTTGGGATTTGCAAAGCCTCCCAGAGGGAGCAGAGGAGGAAGACGTGGATGGGAGGATGGGGGTGAACCCCCGGCCTGCGGGAGCCTCGACGGGTACAGGGTTCATCATATCACTCCCTCTGCTCCCGTGTGTGCCTGAGATTTTCCGTAATAAAATGTTCAAAAATCCAAGATAAAAAGAGGGTGACCGCTGGGTGAACTGCCAGCCTGGGGAGGATGGAGGCTGCCAGGAGACACCCTGAGATGGGGCTTGGTAGACACAGGGCGGGAAAGAAGCTTCAGTATGACAGCGCCCTCAGCCCTGGTGGACAGGAAGGCTGCTCGCTAGACGCACAGGACGTCCGTGGGGCTGGCCACTGGGGTAAGCAGGCTCCACAGCCAAGAGAGGGCCTGACATCCCAGGAGGAGGCCGGTGTGTGGCTCTGAGGAGAAAACACTGGAAAGGGTGTGTGGCCCAGACAGCAGGGGAGCGGGGAGCCCACACCATACCTCATGTTGCTTCTTGGAGATATTGTGTGCGTTCAAGGCAAACACGGCTTCCCGGGCGCCCACGTACAAAGTGTCCTTGTCCTCACTCAGCAGCAAGGACGAGTAGTTGAAGATGCCCGGCTCGTGAAACTGCACCAGCTGCACCTCTGGGGAGGGCGAGGTGGGGGGAGAACATATTAGGTATTTCTGAGCTTGGACACACCCTGAGCATCTGGTCTCCTTTTAGTGCGTGGCTGTCTCACTAGGGCCATGCATGGGTCTGCTGCCACAGTGGACAGGCCCCAGCCGAGGCCAGAACTCAGGCACCTTTGGGTGGAGGCTGCCACCAAGTGTGAGGCCCCAGAGCCACTGTGCTCTACCAGTGCTGTGGCCTGACTTCCGTCCTGCTCCGCTCCCTCCAGCCCAGCTGAGTTCCAAACCCGGCAGCGTGACCTCCTAGGAACATGACCTTCAGGCAGCGTGACCTCTTCGCAGTGTAACCTTGTGACCTCCCAGGAGACTGCAGGCCAGACACCTTAAACTGCTGACCACTGTGGTTCCCTCTCCCTCCCATCAAACTCTTGTCTATGTGTATTTAATCATCCACAAGTGAGGTTTATAGAGAATATAACTATTTAGGATTTTCTTATTCAGAAAAAAGTCATTTACCTCAAAGCCTTTAAAAAAATCTATTTCAGTGATTACACCCCTTAACCCAAGCATTTTCCAAGGATATAACCACCACAAACTTAAAAAGCAGAGAAACAAATGACTTTTTCACTTACTTGGTAATTGCATCAATAGCTATTTAGGAATATGAGGAATTTAAGGATGAGCTATTTAGGAGTAATATAAATGTATTGACACTATTTCTTAAGGAGCTACTTCTTCTTTTTGACCATCCCAGAGTCAATTTTAAACTTGGCTTTCCATCTGTCACCAAGCTCTGATTTTATTGAAGGGTTAGGAGGTCACACTTCTGCTCTTCTAATTTCCCACTGTTGAAGAAAGATGCACACAGGATAGAGGCTCTCCAAGCACACACACTGCCTGGAATTCTGCACAAGACAGCTCCAGCCCTGCAAGCACACCTCGCTCAGGACCACTGAGCCTGAAAGAGTGGAGCGGACGGTTCCTAAGACACAGCTCCCAAACGAGGAAATAAAGAAAAGGGAAACTAATAAATAGCAAATGAAAACAACTGGCCTGACGCTCAGCTACACATAATTAAATAGCCTCAAAATATTGATACTACTTGGCGTGGTTTGTGCTCAGGCAGTGCACACCAAACGTCATCAGGCACAAGGAAGATAAACATCCTTCCAGGGCCCCCCCGCACCCCGCCCCGATTTAGAAGCCAAATCAGCAGGCCAAGAACAAGCCCTGCGAGTGTTTCCAGTTATCGGACCATCTCCCCAGAAGCGGCGGTGCAGGCCGTCTGCCCACACGCAAGTGCCAGGAGGCCAGACCCAGCAGAGCAAAGGGCACCTGTGCATCTCAACACCACGAGCAGGGAGCAGGGTGGCCATTCCCTTCAGATGCCACCAGCGCCTGACACGGTTCTGCCCTCACCTCTGTGCTCCCAGGTGATCCTAGGTATGGGTGCAAACGCCACCGCTGTCCCAAACACCACTGTGAGGGCGGTGAGCAGCCCCCCGACGGGGGCGCACATCCTCATCGGCTGGGGACGCAGTGGGGACTTCAGCAGCAAATGCCCGCGGGCAGGCGAGCCCACGGTGGGTGTCAGGGTGGTCGCTGCTCAGAGCTGCAGGGCAGCCTGGAGCTGGTGGGCGGCGCAAGCCCTGAGGCCCTGCATTTCTCAACACTCTGGGTGAGGTCGAGCTGCTCTCACCACTGCAAATATCAAAGGCCACCTGGTTCTTAAACAGCGTGCTTCTCTACAGCCCTCTGAAGAAATCCTGGAAGAAAGTGAAAATGAAGGGTTACGAGTCAGGATGTGTCGTAATAACGCCTGCTTTCTGTTTGCTCAATATCCCCCCACGGCTCTGCTCTCACCACATCCCCAGCCACGGACTCTGTCTGCTGAGAAGAGAGTGGTGGAGACATAGAGGGCTTCCTGTGGGGACAGCCCCACACAGACACCGCATCCCAGAGTTACAGGAGTCAGGGCTTCCTGGTCCTCAGGTGGGCCCGGAACACAGGACAGACACAGGGACCCAGACCAGGGAGACAAAAATGCCTGCCTGGCTGCCCAGCTTCCTCCCTGTGCGGGCACTGTGTCCAGCTGGTAATGCGATGGGAAGGTAGGGAACGGAACCGGGGTTTCAGTTTCCCTCAGAGACTCTGGCTTCCCAATTCCTGTAATACTCATAGAGGACGACAGCCAGAACTAAAGACTAGAGAGCTGCACGGAGGCTGAAATGTGAGAGTACACACACAGACACACACATAGGTGTATGTGCAAGCACACACGTATGCACGCATACAGATATGCATGCCTACAGACGCACATGCATACAGACACATACACATGCACGCACGCATGTCCTGGTCGTGCAGGAGGAGCTGACCTCCTGCAGGGGACAGGGCCACCCCAATGGCCTCGCTCCTCCAGCCTCACCGCAAAAGTCGGCATGTCATGGAAACTGGTCATGGCCTCTGATCTGTCACTGAGACGAAGCACCTCATGGAAAGAACAGGCCTGTGCTGAACAGAGAAACTGTGGGGCTGGGGGTCCTCAGATCTCCTGGCACCCACGCTCTGCCCCTGCCCCACGACTGCCTGGAGTCCCGGCCTCCCGCCTGCTCAGCCCCGTGCACCATCTGCAAGGGTCCCTGCGGGGAGCTGCAGGGCAGCCCTGCTCCACATCAGTGAATTGGGGCGATTAGGGTTTGCCCCTGACCCAAGGCCCCACCAGGATCCCAGTGAGACTGTGAGATGGGCTTGTTCCCGCCTTCTCAGGGGGAGGTTAAAGCAAAACGTCGGCCTGAACAGAGGCAGGACGCTTGCCAACCACATCTGGGGAATGCAATTAAGCTACAGCAGAACCACTGCACTTCGCAGATGTGCTGCCCTGGGGGGCCCACACGGAATCCAAGGGCATGCAACCTGCTCCTCAGCTGACTACCCTCTGCTGCAAAATGGTGAAGCAGCTGCCTCCCCGACACCCCTCTCCCCACCCCCACAGGCCCTGGGAGTCAGCCATGCTCACGTCCTCCTCTGCCTTCCACTCCCACCAAGCCAACCCCCCTCCAGGTCTACCAGTCCTACTGACACCCCCGGGCCCTCCCTCTCTAGAACCTTCCCCTGCACCCACCACCACGTCAGGACGCCTGAGGACCTCTCCAGCTCCCTTAACGACCTCTCCAGCCGTCCTCTCCCGGCTCCGGCTCCCTGGGGACCCCACAATTTGCCACAGGGCAGCACCTGTGCAGCCACCTGCCCTGCTGCCCTCTGACACATCAGTCCAAACCAAACCTCCCAAGAGGGTTTGGGGAGAAGGTCCGGCTTCCTGTTTACCTGGTTAAGTCACTGCCTCCAGGGAGCCCTCCCTGCTCCTTTCTATTCTGCCTGGGAAGTCACCTCTCACACCCTGGTGTCCTTCTCTGGCCCCCAAAGCCTAGCAGGGAGCACGGCTCACCCTCCACAGTGCTGTGGGGTCCTTTTATTTTATTTATTTTTTTATGTGCACGTACGGGCCACTACCACCCCCGCTCCCCTTCACAAAGGAAGGACTCATGGGGGACTTTCACGGTGAGCACTTGCCACTGGGGAGATGCTGGGCAAGGGCCAGACACCAGGGGCCAAGCCTCATCTGCCCACCCACCTTCCCTGCTCAGGCACCCACTCTGCACCTCCTCCCCCCAGCCCGAAGGCTGCCTGGCGGGGCTCCCCATCCACCCAGGATCTGTTCTCCATCCCAACATGCCTATTGGCCCGTGAAGTCAGGGAGCACACCGAGTCCATCTTTTCCTCCAGGGACTGGCCCATCCTGGGTGGAGACTGGCACCTCTTTTCGACAAAGGGCCGGATGGGCATTATTTTCAGCTTTTTGATTCCTAGAGCCTCTGTCCCAGCTACTCGAGCCCAGCATGGTAGCTCAAAAGCAACCACAGATGACGTGTGAATGGATGAGCATGGCCGTTTGCCAACATAACTATTTACAGGATGGGCACTGGGCTGCAGGCCAAGCCCTGCGCTGGGGGCCCAGGGGACGGCCAGCCCAGACACCCAGTGGCAAAGGCACGATCCATGCTAAACACAACACCGGATGCACCAGGAGGCCAAGGAGGCCGGGAGGGGAAGAAGAGAGAGAGCTGCCTCATGGGGTAGCCGTGAGTGCTCACCCTCTGCGGAGCCAGCTCTTAGAGGCACCCACCGTGTGGGTCACAGTCACCCTCAGCCGGGGCCCTGGTGGGGACTCTGCTCTCCTGCCCTTAGCAGGGAAGTGAGGTACAAGGTGGTTCCAGAAGCCCAGGCCAGGCGAGGTGTTCCCGATGTGACCCACTCAGCAAGCAACCCCGGAGTTCCAGTGAACACTAAATACACTGCAGCAATCCTACACAGTCACAGGACGCCCAGGCCCTGGCGAGGGCTCTTTGCGTGGATGTTACTGGCTCGGGGTGCACCAGACACCCGCCTAGCTCGTTCCCGGGTCCATTTCCGCCACTACCAGTCTAATTGAAGCCGTGCCCACCCCACCCCAACCCCCATCCTTACCTCTCCACAGCCTCCCACCCCTTTACCCTGCTTCTGTTCTTGACGCCTGGGGTAGAGATTGCTGGCTTCCTGTCCAGCATCCACATCCCTTCATTCTCACTAACAGAATCTTGATTTTACCTAGGATGGCAATGTGGCCAGTTAACCATGTCTCCCAGCTCCCCTGGCAGCAGTTCTGGCCAAAGAACTGTGGACAGGGCTTCCCTGGTGACGCAGTGGTTGAGAGTCTGCCTGCCGATGCAGGGGACACGGGTTCGCGCCCCGGTCCGGGAAGATCCCACATGCAGCGGAGCAGCTGGGCCCGTGAGCCATGGCCGCTGAGCCCGCGCGTCCAGAGCCTGTGCTCCACAACGGGAGAGGCCACAACAGTGAGAGGCCCGCGCACCGCAAAAAAAAAAACAAAACAAAAAGAACTGTGGACAGAAGTTATTAGGTAGGAATTCCAGGAAAGCTCTCTAAAGGAGGCTGACTCAGCTAGTGTTGGCATTTTTTTTTTTTTGTCTTCAGCCTTTTCTCCTTTTGCTGCCTGGAACTCAAATTTGATGGCTGGAGCTCTGCCAGCTACCTTGTGAACATGAAGTTAAGAGTCTCATTCTGAGAACAGCCAAGTAGAAATCCAGAAGAACTGGGGACCCTCACAACATACTGGAGACTTTACACCTGCTTTCTTCTGCCTAGACTTGATAATAAACTATTAATCTCTTTAAATTATTGTTTTTTTCAGATCTTTGTTACCAGCAATCAGATACAATTCCAAACAGATACAACCTCCCTGTGACACATTTACCAAACAGCAGCAGCAGACAGAATAATGTTTTTAACGTAAATCAGAGCATATCATTTCCCTACGTGAAACATTTCTCACTCAGATTAAACCCAAGCACACAACCTTGGTTGACCTTCTATCCAGCCTCTCCTGTTTCATGTTCCCTCCACCTTTCTGTCCCAGCCATTTCTGGATGTGCGGAGCCTGGCCCATCTGCTAGGCTGTCTTCCCACTGCTTGGCAAAGCAATTCAGAACATTTCCAAATGTGTCTGTACCAGAGATCATGTGTGTAAATCCCACGGCACAGTCTCATTAATTTACCAGAGAAGACTTTCTCTCTGTATGATTGATCAGTGACTGGCAGTGCCTCCCCAAAGCTTCTCTGCTCCGAGCTCCCAAACAGGTAAGGTTTCTAGGAATGCTCCAAATCAGGGCAGGGAGAAGCTCAGTGGCTGCCGGGGTCAGAGCGGAGTGAGGGGTGAACAGGCAGAGCTCAGAGGATTTCTACCACTCTGGAGTGAGACGTTGATGTGGAGGAGGGGACAAGATATATGGAAACTCTATGTACTTTCTGCTCAATGTCACTATGACTCTAAAACTGCTCTCAGATAGAAAGTTTATTTAAAAAACCCCACCACACACCAGTACAGAGAGGTCTTTCCTGAGCACAAAAGGAGCATGTGTGAGGCCCTGTCCCAGTGTGCCCACAGCCTGGGGTGCCCTTCTGGCTGCGGGGCACAGATGTGAGGCCCACTGGGATGTTTCACTTCCCCTCAAACATCAGCATGGAGCCCAGTCTCTGTTGGAGGGAAATGGTTTGCAAGGATCCAACGGCAAGAACAAATTCCTACTTCAGTCGCTGACAGAAGTCACTCTTCTGGGACATGCCATGACACGCACTGCAACCAGGCTTAGAACCCAGATGTGGGAGATGGGAGAATCCCTCTTTGGAAACTGGTGCCCAGAACACAGAGTTTTATCTCAACTCCCTCCTCATACCCAGTAAAATTCTGACACCCTAAAAGGACATAAACCCATACGGATAAAAATGGGGAGACGGTGATAGCCCATGCGGACGTTAACAAACCTGGGAAACTAGAAAGAAAACAGGTGAGCAAAAGCAGTGGTGTACTGGCAAACCTTAACAACTGGCTCTCCAAGGGGGCAGGGTGCCCTGCTTTGTAGTGTATGCCAATTGCTGGGGTGCAAATGCTGCTTTCAAGCTTCCAACATGATGTCACTGAACACAGAGACAGGACGAGATGCACGGTAGCACACCAGTGCACGGTAATTCCACCACACAGATACAACAGGCATGTGGCCTCAAGAGCAGGTAATAGTACAGGAAATAGTAAAATGCACGGGAAGCAGTGGGTTTTGAGTATGTTTACCTTCACTTGTATTTTTAATACAATTTATTTAAGTCCACATAATTTAGTGTTTGATAATGGCTGTGTTCACTAGCACACCGCTGCTAGTAATTAATTGCCGTTGTGGACAAACAGAGCTGAAACTGGAGCCTGTGAGAGGAGAAGTCACAAAGAAACCTGAGAAAATGAAAGCGACCTTAGAAATTAAAATCTTGATTAAGGCAACAAAATGTTCAGCTGAAGGATTGGAAGATAAAATTGAGGAGGTTTCCTAATAGTTGAACAATGTGACAGAGAGAAACAAAGGGAGAGAAAAGAGAAGAAAGCTAGAAGATGGATTCAGGAGACCCATGTCTAACTGACAGGAGTTCCAGAAAAGAGTGAGAATACAAGAAGTTACCAGAGAAATAATAACAAGAAAATGTCCAAAATAAAACCCCCACAGGTTTATAGAATGGAAGAGCCCAGCAGTGCAGTGAATGAAGAAAGGCTGCAGTAGAGCCCTGGGAGACAAAGGGGGAGATTCTGAAAGCTTCCAGAGAGAAAACGGGCTCCAGACAATGACCTCTCAAGAGCCACGCCAACAGCTAGGGGGCAGCACAATGCCTTTAAAGTCTCAAAGGAGGAGGATTGCTCATGCAGACTCTCAAATCAAACCCAATTATCAGTCACCTGAGTGTAGCACAGAAACATGTCCCAAGCATGAAAGTTCTTAGAACTTCTACCTCCCTTACATCCTTTCTCAGAAAGCTACTGAAGGACTCACGCCACCAAAACAAGGGAGCTGCTTCCCTGGTCTTCCTGAGAAGGAAGAAGAGCTGGGGGACAAGAGACAAGGTGTGCTCTGTGGAGAAGGGGTGCAGGGGACAGGAGACAGAGGCCGAGAGGGTGCAGGAGAGCTCGTGCAGAGTTACCGTGCGTTTGTGCGCTGAAATATGAGGGGAGCCTGAGGATGAGTAACACATTCATAGATTAAAAATGTAGCACACACACTCAAAATGAAGCAGTTACTAACCCCAGAGAAAGCAAAAGTGAAACTTGAAAGGAAATGTGATCAAAGCATACTTATTATGGCCCAGCTTTGAGCAATACTGACATGGCACCAATAACAAAAACCGTGGAGCAACGTCACTGGGAGGGTGGGGGGGAGTGAGTGAAGGAGGACGTCAGAGAGCCCCCATCCTCACCTTCCATGGTAATACAGGATCTAAAATAGCAAATGCAGGAAATACCTGTACAAGCACTTTGAAGGAATATTACCCAAAATGGCTAAAACAGTCGCAGCTCACTGTCTCAGGGACAACGACAAGACCGGAGCTCCTGTTTGCTCTCATAAGCTGTATAGTAATTATTTCAAGTTAAAATCATGTGCATTAATTGCTCTGATAAAAGCTAATTAAATTTTTTTGAAGAAATCAATGCTTTGATTCTTTGTAGCCTGGAAGACAGCAGTTCAGTGGGTGGAGAAGCAGGGGACACGGCCCCCTGCAGGCAGCCGTCCCAAGGACCAGGCAGAGCAAGATGTGCTTATGCAGCCACACTGGGGTTCATACATTTTTGCAGAAATAGGATTATTCACCAAGCGGCAGAAGTGCCCTGAGCAGCAGAACAGGAGTTAGTGTAAAATGAAGCTTCGACAGTGCCCAGCAAGGGGACCTGGCCTCCCGTCCCTTCACTCGCCACAGATCACCCCCCAACCCCAGTCTCTGCATTTGCCGCTCCCTCGTCCAGAACATTCTGCGACACGCCCACCCCCACCCCGCTTCCCCACCCAGGAGTTCCTGGTGGCTGGCTCCTTCCCACATGCACCCTGGCCCCAAGGCCACCTCCATCCTCCTCCTGCTTTATTTTCTTCATACCAGGAGTAGGGACTTAATGCTCAACGATGTGGTCCCTTCTAGGGCTGGCAGAACCAGAGGAAATACAAACATCTCAGTTAGAAGACTAAGGCCAGAGCTGGAGAGAACCAAGGTGAGGCCCCAGTGGCAGAAAGTTTCGCACACATCATAGCCAGAATGAACAGAAATTTAGAATGGATTCACAGCTCCAGGACAGGCTGAGCTGCCTTAACAAATGGGCCCAGTGGGGCTTCCCTGGTGGCGCAGTGGTTGAGAGTCCGCCTGCAGATGCAGGGGACACGGGTTCGTGCCCCTGGGAAGATCCCACATGCTGTGGAGCGGCTAGGCCCGTGAGCCATGGCCGCCAAGCCTGCGCATCCGGAGCCTGTGCTCCGCAACGGGAGAGGCCACAACAGTGAGAGGCCCATGTACCGAAAAAAAAAAAAAGATGGACAAACAAATGAGCCCAGTGAATTTCAGCGGAGGCGGGTGGAAGGGCTAGTCTCTCTCCTTCCAGGACCTGCAGGAATGACCACTGTGCACACGGGCTGCTCACACTGGTTTAGGTGAGAAGGGAAAACATTCTTCTTAATCGCCTTGAGCCTGTACCAACCCAGACACTGTCTTTAAGGAGCAGGGCGGGTGCTGAACTAGCCAGGGGGCCACTCACTCCCAGCCATTCCCAGGCCCGCCCTGCCCACGGCGGCCTGAGGACGGGTACAAGTTCTTTCTGCAGAAGTTTCCCAGCATGGACTTCATCCAGCTCTCAACTGTCTTTACCTCATCAGCAGGCGCCAGACTCCCGATGGCCTCAATCAGACCCTGCGTCTCGTCCCCAGATGGTCTTTAAAAAAATCCACAAGAATAGCCAAAGGTCAGGAGGGTCCATGCCACACACAGTCGACTCCTCTCTGGGGAAGGGGTGTGAGGGATGCATGTTTTGCTTTATGACATTGGAAGGGTTTGATGTTTGTCCTTTTTCAATAAGCATGCATTGTTCCGTATAATTTAAAAGTGCTAAGCAAAGCACACAGCACACTCACACAGACACACAGCCACGGTGCACTCAACCGGGAACACTGGCTCGGCGATCGCTGTCGCGTTAAGAATCGAAGCCTTAAATGTTCAAATGGAAACAACTGGACGAAGCGCCCACCCTCTGGCTTTCGTGGGCACTTCTGCTGGGAGCCAAGTGTCAGGAGTGTGCATTTGGCCTCCCCCATGTGAAAGTGTCACAGTGAGACAGGAGCCCATTAGAAAGACAGGGTCATACAATGTCACACCCGTTACCTACACATAATTGTGCTGGTTCAGGAGGAGTGCATGACCCCACTTTAAATGTCAGGAGAATGGAACCCAGAGGGGTCTCTGAACCCGGCACTCAGGGGCCTGTCAGTGCCTGTCACGCGGCAGCTTTCCAACCGAGAGACCCTGAATCAAGTCAGGGGGTTGGGGCAGAGAAAACAGGGTAAGGGCTATTTCATGAAACCATACACACATCTGTGTACGTACGCTTGTGTGTGTACATACGTGTATTGTGTACCTGTGCACATATACACATATATGTGTGCATCTTTAAGTGTATATCGGAGTATATATGTGCACGTATGCATCTCTGCGTGACCTGTATATGCGTGCATTCATGTATGTATGTGTACGCGTGTCATTTGTATACACGTATCTATGTATATGCGTGTTCATCCATGCATGCACACACCTGTAGGTGTGTGCATGAGTAGGTGTGTGCATGTGCATCTGTGTCTGTTCATGTGTGCCTGTATGTGTGTGTGTGTACATGTGTGTATGTACATGCCCATGCAGTGTGTGTGCTCTCTGTGGCAGCACAGAAATCCCGATCTAGCACTGCATTCCTAGATGTGACCGGTGACGAAAGGCTAGGGTCCTTTAAGGCAGGAACCATGGGCCGAGGGTACTGTCTGGGCTCTGTCACGCCTACCCACACCTTGGCTTCCCTTTCTGGGACCAGCTGTCTGTAGGGTCACGGAGGGGACACCACTCACTACCCCATATAAGGCATCAATGCTGGCATCAACAACAGGATGCTAAACCAATGTTCAAAGTGTCTCCACTGGCATCCCCTGGAAACCCATGAAAGGGGAGCTCAGGTGACAGCTGTGGACAACTACTGGGGGAGCCTGTTGACGCTTCTTGTCTATGGGGTTTGCCCAGACAGGGCAGGTGAAGCCCCACTTACCCTCTAGGCCCTGTGGCCAGGACAGCGGAAGACATACAGCTAAATATACCTTCCCTTCCCAGCCAGGAGCAGAGAACACAAGAGCCACCCTAAGACCATGCCCTGCCAGTGCTGGTGCCAGGCCCAGTGTCCCCATCCCCAGGCTGTCCCCCACCCTAGGCTCCCCTACCCTACCCCAGTCACCAGCCCTGCCCCAGGCTGCACCCCACCCTCAGCTCCTCTCCCTACCCAATCCCCCAGCCCCAGCCCCAGGTTGTGCTCCCCCCCACTCCCCTCCCCACCCTCAGTGCTCTCCTCCCCCGCCCCTGGCTGTGGTGCTGATGTCACCACCTTGCCAAATGGCCTTGCCCTCTCAGGAATCAGGAACAGGTTTCAGAAGCTCTCTGTGTCACACACACAACAAACAGTTTTTTGTTTCAACTTCAGTTTCCCCAGGACTTAGAATGGATCCCAGGAGCCAGGCTCAGCCTTAGAGCTGAGTCCAGCTGGACGCTCCCCGCTGCCCCAATGGAAAAGCGTCCAGGACACTGGCTTTCCCCTCCAGCCGCCCCGCAGGGGCAAACAAGCTGGTCAGGATGTCCCGACACACCTTAACCCTCGTTCTCTCACCTAAACCCAGGCACGTGTGTGTCACAAATGTGCCGATGGAAGCCAGGAAGGAGAAAAAGGGCGGCAGGGTGACAGGTGTACATACCAACCAATTAATCAGCAACCAATCAGCAGTGATGATGCTGAGAAGGGCATACGCAGGGCAGGTGCAGGGCAGCGGGGACCCTGAAGCACAAAGGCCAGAGGAGGGAGGGATCACACCACCTTGTGTGACATCATTCTACACTTCACAGTCACACTGTCTCTTTGGAGGGCATGTGACACCCTCGCATAGCGTGTGCAGTGCATTTGTCTCTGAGCCCGGACAGCTTAGCACCAGGGAATACAAAATAACCTACCTCCCCTAGCCTGATTCTTCCTGTCGGCCCACCCCCAGGGAGGAATATCTGTTGTCCAGGGGCTGCTGGCATAGTAGGGAGCTCAGCTCCAGATGTGCCCCCAGGCTTGTTTCCCAAGGGCTGGAGGACACCATGTGCACCAGGAGATATTTTAAATGTCACTAAAACTGGTGCTTCAATCCCCAGTTTGACCTGTACAGAGAGCAAACTTAGATAAATGATACTGTTGAAAAGTTCTGCCTTAACTGGAATTTATTTGCATTCTTTTTTTTTTTTTTGCGGTACGCAGGCCTCTCACTGCTGTGGCCTCTCCCGTTGCGGAGCACAGGCTCCAGACGCACAGGCTCAGCGGTCATGGCTCACGGGCCCAGCCGCTCTGCGGCATGTGAGATCTTCCCAGACCGGGTCCGCATCGGCAGGCGGACTCTCAACCACTGCGCCACCAGCGAAGCCCTATTTGAATTCTTAATTTTCTCCTTACCTTATAAAACTCTCCTACCTTCCAAAGTAACTCCAAGGGTGCTTAATAAAGAAATAAAGTAATAAAGAAATGTAAATTAAAATAAAATACCTAATTATCCCCCAAGAGACAGAGAAATTTAAGATTGCTGCTAGGGGTGCTGGTGAAGGGCTGGAGGATTTCCGAAGGCGATTCTTCATTTCCAAATGGCTCCTACTTCCTAGCTAGTCTTGGGCAGCTATCCTGGACCAGCCCAGTGTGCAGAGCCATGTGGACGAGGACAGCCCACGAGGGCACCTGGAGGGATGTGCCTCCACCGGGGGGCCTAGTTAGCAGACATGTGCAGGACACTGAAGAAGCTAGGCAGGAACCACCAGGAAGCACACAGCACCCTGACCACATGGAAGGGCAAGGGCAGAACAGCAAGCCAAGATGACCCATGTGTGTCCAGGGAGGAGGTGCCAGTCCACATACACATACGCGTGCGCACACACACACACACACACACAGATGCACACATGGACACAGACATACATGGACACACACACACATGGACACACACACAGAGACACACAGGCGCACATATAGACACACATGGACACAGATATACATCCAACTGTTAACAGTGATTATCTCTGGGGAGGGAGAACGGCCAGGGAACTCACTTTTTAATGTTTGTTTTTAAAACAGTGAATAATGTTTATAATGCTTTGTAAAAAATTAATACATTAAAAATTTATGTCTCCTCTACACTAGACTCAAGTCAGTGAACAAATATTACATCCAGCACATCAACCTGTGCACTGGTATGTAATGTTCCACAACCCAGCCCATTTCTTGGTGTCTATTCTTGCCATTTTATTTTTTTGCCCTTTTGCACTTACATAGAAATGAGAAGGGGCTTCTTTTCCTGCATGCTTTTTATGACCACAAGGTAAAAGTAACAGAAGTCTATTCTTGCCATTTCTTTGCCCTTTTTGCATTTACATAAAAATGAGAAGTGGCTTCTTTTCCTGCATATACTTCATGCTTTTTATGACCGCAAGGTGAAAGTGAGAGTCCACCCTCTTAGACTTTTACATTGGAATTCTCTAACAACTCAATATAGTACTGAACAGAAGAAACCACCCTTGTTTTCAATTACCTTCTGTCCAAAGATTCCAAAATATTTCTTTAAAATAAAGTGTTCAGCAAACAAAATCCAAAGACAAATGATCTAGGGGAAAAAAACTAGGAAAAAACACTTGTAACATAAATGCCAGGGCCTGGAATTCCTAATAAGTGCAATGATCTAATAAACTACAGAAAGAAAAGACCTAATAAACTACAGAGCCCTGGCCAAACAGAGCAGGTAATTAAAAATGTATATGTATATAACCAGCCAATAAACACAGAAAGTGCTAAGTATCCCTAGAAGTGAAGCTGTGTTCATTAAAACCACCCCCACCCCAAAACTGGCATAACAAGTCCTCGTGACTGCCACGCATGGCAGACACCAAAGACTACACTGGCAGCAGGTGTGTGGAGAAGCTAGCAGAAATGACAACCCCACCAGCTAATCCACAATACATGAGTAGCATAAAGGGATGAAGGGGAGGTAGGGGCTTACTTTTTGTTTTTACAAATTAAATTGGCATTTCTCTTTCCTCTAAAACTGGAAATACACGGTTGACCACGTATTAACTGACCAAAATTAAGATTAATCACAAAATGACTCGGCTTCAGGGCAGATGACATGGAAAGCCATCTTTTTACACCAGACATCACTGATGACCGCCCCCATCCCCAAAAGAGAAGATGGAGCATTTCTGTGCCTAGAGCAGGGGCCTGCAGCCCAGAAAGGGGGCAGGGGAAGGAGCACGGGGCAGAAAGGCAGTGGGGGAAGAAAAACAAACAGGCAGTGCCCCTACTGCCCTGTAGGCTTCCCTCAAGCCAGCCCCAAGGGGCAGCAGCCAAGTCCAGATCTTTGGCCCTAAGATAGCACAGGGACCAAGGACCAACCTTCGGCTGGATCCCACTGAGGCTTCTACAAGGTGTCATCTTTGCTAATCTGCGAGATAGACTGAGAAACAAAGGGATTTTACCTGTATCTTGTGCCTCTCGATACTTCCCAATTGTTTCTAGGAAGGAGTCTTCAGAAATCTTGGCTCTGAAAATAATGGGAAATGAGAATATTTAAACAGTTAAACTGTCCACATAAACTCAGCATCACTTCTGGAAAGGCACTGAGAACAAACTCCTGCCTTCACTTCTGGAGCCCCGCAGCTGACTCTCTGACCCAGGATGGCTTGGCACTTGTTCACTTGTGCAAACAGGAGGAGGGAGTATGCAACTGCTCACCCAGGAACAAAGGAAGTGAAACCTGTTGGTCACCCAGGTGCCGAAGCTGGTCCCCAACCACTGACCACCACCACTTCCCTGCAGAACAAGCCATTCAAATACAAGCCAGAGTCACTGTCAGCTGTGAGTCCATCAATCAAAAAAGTATCATCTGGGCTTCCTTGGTGGTGCAGTGGTTGAGAGTCCGCCTGCCGATGCAGGGGACACGGGTTTGTGCCCCGGTCCGGGAAGATCCCACATGCCGCGGAGCGGCTGGGCCCGTGAGCCATGGCCGCTAAGCCTGCGCGTCCGGAGCCTGTGCTCCGCAACGGGAGAGGCTGCAACAGTGAGAGGCCTGCGTACCGCAAAAAAAAAAAAAAAAAGTATCATCTACTGGCTATTGACTTCAGATATGTATCCTTTAGAATTCATCTTCATTGAAATCCAAAGGCACCAGGCGATGAAGGAAAAAGTGATACAGATAACATATTCACGAGAAAATGATTTCCTAAAAATCCCATTTAATTCCCTTTTTCTTTGTTTTTGATTATTGTTTATAAGCCAAACAGAAGAATTTCCACAGTGGTATAGCAAGTTCCTATATGGTATTTGCTACCCCTTCCCAGTGCAGGGCAGAGCCCTCAAAATAGGAATCCCCAAGTCCAGTAAGATCACAAACTATCAGACAAAGAGAATCAGAATTGCAAAATCAGAGGTCACAGTGCAGGATTAATGAAGGTTTAGAGGCTGGTTAAATGGACGCTGACGCCTCTACAACTGCAAATGATCCAACATATTTTTTAAACCTCAGAATAAAGCTCTAGCATTTTTTTGTGGTTGGAATTATTTTTTTCTTTTGCTTCAAGGATTTATACAATTTTTGCCAGTTTTCTGAAGACAGCTGAGAAGTAGGAGATGCTCCTTGGAAACGCCGTTGATGCCCCATCTCTCCCACACAGTGCCTCCGCACCCCGGGGAGTGGGACCATCATGTCTGCAGCCCAGACACCAGTTTGTACCCCACTCTTACATGTCCACCCAAGCACACAGTTTCCAGGGCCACCCAGGGCCCCTCAGTGCCCAACAACTCAAGTCAGCAGATGAAACTTCAAAGTGACAGGCAGAAATGGTTAGGATTCACCTGGCCTCACTGTGATGTACTGCCTAAGACTGAGTCTGGGTCTTTCCCACAGAAGCGACTGCTTCTGATGGCCAATTTATAAGCAAAAATATCTTCAGATGAGCAAGCAGGTAAGTGTCCTAGAAAAAGTTATATCCACGCAAGACACAGAACCTATCTCTTCTGTTTAAATGCTCTTCTGGGCGAGCAGCTGACACAACCGATGGACAGGCAATGGGCAAACCCAATGAGCTATGGCATTTACCCGTTCACACGGGGCTTTCCTAGCACATGGGCAGGCGGGGCCCAGCAGCCACTGGGGACTGCTGAGAACTCTTAAGGAAAAAAGAAAGTGAGTCACCCATAAATAAGAGGTTTAGATAAATAATGTGAATACTAAGAATTTTAAAAACAAAAAACTTCTCTCTTCTAGAGATTCAATAAGTCTTTGTCACTTTAATAAATAAAAGCCCAGAGCTGCTTGTTCTGTGGTTGGACAAGGTGCGTATCATATTCACCCTAATTTCATGGTTTTGAGCAACAAGTGACAGCAGGCTAGGGTTCCTGTGTGTGTGTCTTCAGCACCTCACACAATGCACTTGGACACTGGTGTCCTCATTTTCTGCCTTCAAGCCAAGCCTCCGTATCTACCCTCCATCAAAGAGCTTCTAGCCCCCAGGTTCCTGAGTGAAAATACTCGCTTCTGGCTCAGTCAACCGAGAGGCCCTGAGGGCCCCCAGTTGTCTGCACCCTTTACCACAGCAATTTTTCTCCTTTCCCAACATAAAAACCCACAGGCTATAATTAGTTATCACCATACTGAAGAATGCAAAAGACATGCTCTGTACGCAACTACTAACCATATCATTCTGACTACGCATCTCCTCTGACTATGCAAACCTGCTTATAATGCACATAATGTACAGTCCATTTGCAAAAGAAAGGAGTGGAATCCATCAGAAGAGAGATAAGTGTTTTCCTCTGGTACACACAGGAAAAACCTGGCCCATGCCCCGATGGCAGCGGTCTCCTGACCATTTATGACAAAAGTGCAGAGCCCAGGTAAAGGGGGTCTTCATCTTGCAGGCACCTTGCCTACATTCTGCCATTGTGACCTCACCTTCCGAAGGCCCCTTGCCTCAGCAGTAACCCGGTGTTCTCTTTAGTGCGTGGAGAAGACACAAGCGGGATGGGGCCAGGCATGGGACTCTGTTGGGTCAGAACGACCTGGGTTCCAGGCTTCGCTTCTCCATTTTCCAGCTGTGTGTCCTTGGGGAAGTTACTGGGCTTTTCTGTGCCTCTGCCTCCTCATCCAGAAAGTGGACATAATAATAGTACCTACCTCATTTGGTTGCTGTAAAGATCCATGAGTAACTTATGTGAAGAGCTTAAAACAGTGTCTGGCAGCTTCCCAGCACGGCATAACTATCAACTATGACTCTTCCTACCTGTGAAGCGGAGCCAGTTATACCTAACTTGTTAATTACCTACCTTGAGAGACATACATATCAGCATTCGGCATGTGTAAGCACATTCCCCATTCCCCATGACCAAGGCTCTACCAGCCTCCTCCTCTCACAGGGAATTCAGAGCTCAGAGCCTGGGTCTGCCTGGGGTCACATCCACAATCTCCTGGGAACAGGGCCCCTGTTTCTGCGGTCGTGGATGGGGAAGGGGCCTCGAGTCTTATCTGCTGAACTTCCTCACTTCAGCCCAGAAGCCCACGCTGGAGGTGTCTGGGCAGTGTGAAATGGGGAGATTCAATCAGCACTCCACCCACATGCCCTGTCTGGGGTGGGTTTGCACATTAGTGCAAGACACCATTTCCCACCTCTGAGAAGGGCAGCAACGAGACAGGCTGGCTAAAATGTACGGTGATTAGGGGCTGGGGGCAGCATTCACATGCACTGGGGCAACTTCTCTGGGGGCTACTGGGTGACACCTATCAAGATGCCATGTCCAGACCCTCTGACCCAGCAGTTCTCCACCAGGAATTCAGCTGGACACACCCCCACGTGTACAAGATGCCCAAGTACAGTATGAGGCTGCTGATAGGAAAACTCTGGAAACACCTAGAAGTCCATCAGTTCATGTGCATGTGGGCACATATATGTGTGTGTGTGTTTGTGTGTATACACACATGTATATACACTGCATATGTGTAAGCTGATTTGTGTATGAGCTGTGGCACATCTATAGGATGGAATACTACACAGCTGTTAAAAAAAATAAAGTGGTCACTGAGATGAAAGGATGTCCAAGATACTTAGTTCAGTAAAAATTAAGGTCCCCCACAGTGTTATAATATGTTCTCATTTGTGCAGACATAGGGTATGTAACCATTTGTACGTGCACATAATTTACTCAAAACTATTTGATTAGATCAGCCCTTAATCAAGGATCTGCTGGCAGTGAGCGACTACAGAGTGGCTTTGGTCTGGAGTAGGGGTGTATTTCAATTTTTACTATGTGTATTCTTTAGTACTATTTGAATTCTTATCTTAAGCATGTGGTTTCCTAATTAAAATATTTTAAATCTGATATTAAAAGTAAAATATATTAAATGTAAAAAATTTGGAAAATAAAAGGTCAGAGAAGAAAACATTTCTGGCAATTTCAAAAAACAGGTTACTATAACTATTAAAACATGATTCCCAGAATATTACTCAGCCATAAAAAGAAACAAAATTGAGCTATTTGTAATGAGGTGGATAGACCTAGAGTCTGTCATACAGAGTGAAGTAAGTCAGAAAGAAAAAGACAAATACCGTATGCTAACACATATATATGGAATTTAAGGGAAAAAAAATGTCATGAAGAACTTAGGGGTAAGACAGGAATAAAGACACAGACCTCCTGGAGAATGGACTTGAGGATATGGGGAGGCGGAAGGGTGAGCTGTGACAGGGCGAGAGAGAGGCATGGACATATATACACTAATAAACGTAAGGTAGATAGCTAGTGGGAAGCAGACGCATGGCACAGGGATATCGGCTCGGTGCTTTGTGACCGCCTGGAGGGGTGGGATAGGGAGGGTGGGAGGGAGGGAGACGCAAGAGGGAAGAGATATGGGAACATATGTATATGTATAACTGATTCACTTTGTTATAAAGCAGAAACTAACACACCAATGTAAAGCAATTATACCCCAATAAAGATGTTAAAAAAATTTAAAAAACATTTAAAGAAAAAAACCATGATTCCCTTTCTGAAATTTACTAAACGCATTTCATCAAAATGGAAGTTTTCAAGAACAGCAAACAGACTTTACATCATTTCCAGCAGTTCCGACGTTTTGTTGGACCTATTTATCCTAAGAAAACTCAGACACAGAGGAAAGCATTTTGGTGCAGGTGAGTGCCGCAGACCCCGAAGTGGGAGAGGCAGGCTCATAGCCATGCAGCAAGAGGAACAGAAACCTGGAACTCAAGAGAGAAGAAAGCACCTGCAGCATGTGGGCTGCTGAGTCAGGGAGCGGGGAGAGGAAGTGAGGGCCCCAGCGTGAACTGTGCCCCATGAGTCTCTGCATTTGGCCCCATCCCACATGATCCAGGGTTCCCCAGCATCAACTTGTGACTATGCAATGTTGTATAGCTAAATATGATAATGTTGCACGTTCAGATCACTGTCAATTTCCTACTTAAAATTCATTTTTAAAGACTGATTTTAACAACCAGCAAAACTTGAGCTAGAAACCCTTCTTTCTAGAAT